GTTTGGGGTGAGGGGTGAGGGAGCAAGAGAGGCTGGAGCCGCGGCGCGGCGGGAAAAAGGAAGGGCTTGGGGGGTGAGGTTTTGGGGAACTCTGCTCCACGCTGTTGATTAGGGTTTAGGGTCTAGGGTCTAGGGTTTAGGGTTTAGGGTTTAGGGTTTAGGGTTTAGGGTTTAGGGTTTGTCTCAGGCTACGGGGGTGCCGGCGGCGCTCCCGCGCAGCTCTATGGCGGCTACAATTATGCCTATCACCCTTACTACGCAGCGTACTATGCTCGTGAGTAATTAAATAAATAAATAAATTAATTAATTAATTTAATTGATTTAATTAATTTAAATAATTTAATTAATTTAGTTAATTTAATGAAATAAATAAATAATAAAGTAATTAGTTCTTTTAATTTGGGGTTTTTGGGCGCTCGAGCGAAGGCGCGAGCGGCGCAGGGGCCGGCGTGCTGCCGCAAACCCTAAACCCTAAACCCTAAACCCTAAACCCTAATTTGCTTGTGGGAAGTGCGTGAAGTCTGTTTGCTTCACATGGATTCCCCAGGAGATTTTCTTTTCAACAATTTCTTACTATTACAATTGCAATTATTAATTTAGTTTGTTTAATTTATTTAATTAAGTTTAATCAATTAATTATATTTATTTATTTATTTGTTTATTTATTTATTTATTTATTTATTTATTTAAAATTGCTTTTTGCCTTTTAGTGTCTTTGGCGTCTTTTTTTTTGCTTTTTTCCGCAAAGTCGCTGAGACCAGCCGCCGAATTGAACAAAACAAATAAATAAATCCCTAAATAAAATAAAATTAATTAAATTAAATAAATTAAATTAAATAAATTAAATAAATTAAATTAAATTAAATTAATTAAATGAAATGTTTTGCTGCAGAAATGGCTGCGGCCTACGGCGGCGGCGGCTACGGGGGCTATTCGCCGGAGGGCTCTTTGGGTGCGGAGCGGAGCAGCAGCAGATTGCCGAGCAGCAGATCGACTCCTTATTGATGAAAAAAAGCTTTTAAAAAGCTTTTAAATATTCTTTTTGAAGCTCTTGCATGCATTTAGTTGAATAGAGCTCTTCAAGACTTCCATTTTGGTCCAAAAGCCGCTCCATTTCGACAAAAAGAGCCCTTTCCGCGCATGCACGCGGTGTACGTACACCCCGTGCATGCGCATGCAGCAGCAGCAGCAGCAGCAGCAGCAGCAGCAGCAGCAGCAGCGGCAGCTGTCGGTACACCTGGATGCGTTTCTTGCTGTCAGTCGCAAATGAGAAATAATAAATAAATAATTCTTCGTAATTAATTAATTAATTAATTATTTATTATTCGCATCTCCGCGGGCGCCGTCCAAACCGCGCGAAAGAGGCCCCTCGCGTCCCTAGGGTTTAGGGTTTAGGGTTTAGGGTTTAGGGTTTAGGGTTTGGGGTGTTGCTGCCGAATCGCGCCACCGTCTGCGCCCTGGGAAACGGCTGCAGCAGATTTATTTATTTATTTCAAAAGTAAAACAAATGAAATAAAATAAATAAATTAAATAAAATAAATAAATTAAATAAATAAAATAAAATGAAATAAATAAATACAATTAAATAAATAAAAAGAAATAAAAGAAATGAAATAAATAAATAAAATAAAACCCGCTAACCGCCTTCTGACTTCAACAATAAAAGAACAAAATTAAATAAATAAATAAATAAATAAATAAATAAATAAATAAATAAATAAATAAAATTAATTTAGTTTATTTGTTTGTTTATATTTAAACTCTTCTGCGCTATGGGGGCCCTAATTTTGGCTGTGGGAGGGGGCCGGGGGGCCCCCAAACCCTAAACCCTAATTTAGGGTTTTCGAGAAGCGCTTTTTCGGGAGGGCTTTCTCAAAGGGTGGGTGAGGAACGGCGGCTAGCTGGCTAGCTAGCCAGCTAGCTGGCTGGCTCACTGATTGGCTAGCTAGCTAGCTAGCTAGCCAGCTGCGTGGCTAGCTAGCTGCCTGGCTTTCTGCGTGGCTAGCTAGCTTTTTGGCTAGTTGGCTAGCTAGCCAGTTCTCTGGCTAGCAAGCTAGCTAGCTGGCTGCCTTGCTACCTAGCTAGCTGGCTGCCTGGCTAGCTAGCTAGCTGGCTGCCTGGCTAGCTAGCTAGGTAGCTGCCTGGCCAGCTAGCTAGCTAGCCGCCTGGCCGGTTACCTAGCTAGCTGGCCACTGGCTAGCTAGCTGGCTAGCTACTGGCTAGCTAGCTAGCCAGCTAGCTACTGGCTAGCTAGCTGGCTAGCTAGCCAGCTACTGGCTAGCTAGCTAGCTACTGGCTAGCTAGCCGGCTACTGGCTAGCTAGCTAGCTAGCTAGCTGTAAGGGCCCCCTCGGGCCTGAGTAGCAACGGGGCCCCTGTTTGGGGGTTTTGAGGGAAAACTGCACCGGGAAAGAGTTTGTCTTTAGGGTTTAGGGTTTAGGGTTTAGGGTTTAGGTGGGGTGGCCGGCACTTAGGGTTTAGGGTTTAGATTGGCTGCTGGGGTTTAGGGTTTAGGGTTTAGGCTGCAGCCGCCTAGGGTTCAAACTCGGTTGCTAGCGTAGCGTTTAGGGTTTAGGGTTTACGCAGCCTGTAACTAGGGTTTAGGGTTTACGCAGCCTGTAACTAGGGTTTAGGGTTTAGGGTCTTAGCTTCGGCTGCTAGCTAGGGTTTAGGGTTTAGGGCTTCGGCGGCCCCCAGGAAGAAGGCTGTCTGGTATATTAGGGTTTAGGGTTTTAGGGTTTAGGGTTTAGGGTTTGGAAGACAGCGTCTTAGGTTTCATAGCAACAGAGAATTATTGCTTTTCAAAAAGGCATTTGCTGCTGCTGCAGCTGCAAACTTTTGCTGCTGCTGCTGCAGAGGCAGTTGCTGCTGCTGCAGCTGCAAACTTTTGCTGCTGCTGCTGCTGCAGCAACAGCAACTTTTGCTGCTAGAGCAGCAGGAACATTTGCTGCAGCAGCGTCAGCTGCAGCAGCACCATTTGCTGCAGCAGCAGATGGTGCTGCAGCAGCAGCAGCAGCAGCAGCAGCAACTGTTGCTGCTGTAGCGGCATCTGCTGCAGCAGCAGGTCCCCTATTCTTAAAGTTTCACATTTGCAGCGCACTGTTGCTGCAGCTGCTGCTGCAGCTGTTGCTGCAGTTGTTGCTGCAGCTGCTGCTGCAGCTGTTGCTGCAGTTGTTGCTGCAGCTGCTGCCGCAGCTGCTGCTGCAGTTGTTGCTGCTGCTGCTGCAGCTGTTGCTGCAGTTGTTGCTGCAGCTGCTGCTGCAGTCGCCGCGGCCGTTGCTGCTGCAACTGTTGCTGCAGTTGCTGCTGCAACTGCTGCTGCAGCTGCTGCAGCAGCTACTTTTGCTAAAGTAGCTGCTGCTGCTGCTGCAGCTACTTCTGCTTTTTCTTCCTCTTGCCCTTGCTGCTGCTGCTGCTGCTGCTGCTGCTGCTGCTGCTGCCTGTGTCCCCTTTGCTGCAGCTGGCGTCGCCCTCGCCGCTGCTGCTGCTGCCTTCGCCGCTGCTGCTACCGCTGCTGCTGCTGCCTTCGCCGCTGCTGCTGCTGCCTTCCCCGCCGCCGCTGCTGCTGCTGCTGCTGCTGCTGCTGCTGCTGCTGCTGCTGCTGCTGGGGATAAGGTGTTTCAAATACTTCTTCGAAGAGGAGCAGCAATTGCCTTCTCTAAACCCTAGGGTTTTGTGTCTGCATTGTGTTGCAGTCCACTGGTAAACATTAATGCGCATGTCGCGGCTCATGGCCTAACCACAAACCCTAAACCCTAAACCCTAAACCCTAAACCCTAAACCCTAAACCCTAAATCCTAAACCCTAGTGGGTGGGAGGGAAGAGGCCCTGCGCGCTGTGGGCCTCTTCGAGGGTTTAGGGTTTAGGGGCCTTTGAATATGCTGCTGCTAGGGTTTGGCGGGAGGCTAGGGTTTAGGGTTTAGGGTTTGAGGCTTAGGGTCTAGAACTGGAGGTCTAGGGTTTAGGGTTTAGAGTTTGGGGCTCACCACATAGTCTTCTTTATGCTTCTCCACCAGCTTGGAAATAATTTTTGTCTCCATCTCGTTCAGCCTGAGACAAACCCTAAACCCTAAACCCTAAACCCTAAACCCTAAACCCTAAGACCACCCGCCGTGCGGCCCCCCAAACCCCCCCGCGCACCCCGCTCCCCAAGCCCTAAACCCTAAACCCTAAACCCTAAACCCTAAACCCTAAAGCCCGCCGGCAGTGCCCTCCCGGCAACCCTCCCCCAAACCCTAAACCCTAAACCCTAAACCCTAAACCCTAAAAGGGGGTATAAATCACTTTTTGTGGGGCGAGACTTGGCGGAGTTCTTCGTCGTCTGCGAAAAGCTCGAGGTGGTGTTTTAAATCCACAAGTTGTTTATTTTGAATTAGGGTTTTGTCATTTTTATAATTCTTTTTCAAAATTAAATCCAAACAATTCTTTTTCAAGTCATAAAACCCTCGCCGCGCACTCTTGGGCCGCCGCGACTGCACCCGCAACACGCGCTTCCGCGTCCGCTTCATTTCGAGGGTTTAGGGTTTAGGGTTTAGGGTTTAGGGTTTAGGGTTTGGGGTTTGGGGTTTAGGGTTTGGGGTTTGCGGTGGGCCGCCTGCGGCGCCGGGGTTCGCGAAGGTAGAGGCCGGGGAGGTTTGTTGAAGGAGATGAATGCGCACGCGAGGGTTTAGGGTTTAGGGTTTAGGGTTTAGGGTTTAGGGTTTGGGGTTTAGGGCTGGAAGATTTCAAACCCTTAACACTAAACCCTAAACCTGCGCAACAGGAAACACCGAACGAAGAAGCAAAGAGGCACAAAGGCGCCAATGGATCAAAGATGCTTCACAATTTAGGGTTTAGGGTTTAGGGTTTAGGGTTTAGGGTTTAGGGTTTAGGGTTTAGGGTTTAGGGTTTAGGGTTCAAAGAGTATCGGCATGCAAGGCCGCGAGTGGGGCCTGCTGCCGGGGCTTTTCGAAACTCTAAACCCGAACCCCAAAACCCTAAACCCTAGGCCCTAAACCCTAAACCCTAAACCCTAAACCCTAATTTTTAAATTCTAAAACCCCAAACTATTACTGCTGCCATTTTATTTCCCCAAAAGCTCTTTGGGGCCCCCGGGGGCCCCCGGCGTTGGCCGTCGGGTCGGGGTGTACATACACCTCGTTTCAGATCCTGCACCCAAACCCCTAAACCCTAAACCCTAAACCCTAAACCCTAAACCCTAATCGCCCGCTCGAAACCCTCGCATGCATACCGCAGCCTCCCGCCTCTTAGGGGCCCCCCGGGGGGCCCCCCAAACCCTTTACAGCGTCGCCCGCAGCAGTCCAAGGGGCCCCCCTTGGGGGCCCCCAGGGGGCCCCCCAGAGGCCCCTAGGGGCCCCCCCCAAGAAGCCAAAAGGGGGGGGCCCCCCGGGGGCCCCCTTAGGGGCCCCCCCTCTAGGGGCCCCCCTGGGGGCCCCCTTTCTGGGGGCCCCCTTGGGGGCCCCCCAAGGGGGGCCCCCAGAGTGCCTCCCAGGGGCCCCCTTTCTGGGGGCCCCCTTTCTGGGGGCCCCCTTTCTGGGGGCCCCCCCCAGGGGGCCCCCGGGGGCCCCGTGGGGGCCCCCGGGGGGCCCCCCTGGGGGGCCCCCCGGGGGCCCCCCGGCCCCGTTTTTGGGTTTATTGGTATTAATTTATTGCGGACTTTTTCGAGTTCTTCGCAATCCCGAAAAGTAAATAAAATGATGAAAAGGGCCCTCGAAAGTCATGTGGAATATTTAAGACAACTTGGGGGGCCCCCCCCCC